AACTGACCCAAAAGAGAAGATCACAGGAAAAATAATCCTGTGCTTGAAATGGGATTACGTGTGATACCGTGGGATATTTTGCGTGTTGCTCTTACATAGTAAAATTGCTTGGCAATGAATAAGAAAACATAGTTTATGCCTTACTGCTCTCGAGAAAGTTATTTGTGGCTGCTTTGGTGCAGTATCCCGCCAATAAATTAAAGAGACTACAGAGTTTTTTCAGTGGTAGTATTCTGATATCTTATTTAAGAAGAGAATGACTGTCACGATACAATGGAACCACGACTCGACGAAATGCCAAGGGACTGGAGAAATTGGTTCGTTATCTCGAGGAGTCGTTATATCGAAACCTCGATTTGACGAATTTGCGGAAAAACAACCAAAAAGTTCGTTAGGTCGAGGTAAGTTTAATAATTGTTGTTATCATTGTTTTTTTGTTTTGTTTTTTTCTGTTTGTGTGGGTGTGTGTGCGTGCGTGTGTGTGTGTGTGTGTGTGTGTATGTGTGTGTGTGTGTGTGTGTGGTGACGCTGTGCTTAATGTCTGTATGAAGCTATAGTACACTGTAGAAAAGAAAAGACATCCTTTCGCGCTTTGGCACGTTTCTAGTACACCCCAAGAATGTGACAGATAAAGAATAACAAACATGACTCAGCGGGAAGGTTACAGACACATGAAATGTGTATTCCTCTGAAGCCGGTTGATTTTGTTCTTCCCTCAAAACATCGTTCTTTTCCTCAGTAGAACTACTTTCAAATGTCTGAATCAAACGCACTTCACTAACCCGTGATTGTTATCAATTTGTGATCCGATCCATTTAACTAATCACATCGCATATATCAAATTAAATTACATCACATGACGGGGTAACAAAGTAGCTACCACTTTCTAGAAGCTGTAGTGCTTTTACCAATTGAAGTACAAGTGTGGAGAGCGCCGCAAGGCTTTGTTCTCCTTAAAAGAATTTTATCGCAACCAACATATCAAATAAATTGTATTTAAGCTTTTCCGATCTGTTACGAGTGATAGTGATTATTTCAAATTAAATCTCAGTTCAAACTGACCCCATCGAGATACTTTGATTTTAAAGAAACCATCACTTTGGTCCAAACAACTAACCTATTGACATAAACAACCACGACATTTATCCTCTTTGGAGTTTCAATTTAGAACGGAGTCTAAAATTTCCTAAAATCCTTTTCATGTTTATCACTTCATGCATCCCTTTTCACTGAAACCTAAATTTTTTTCTTTGTTGTTGGTGAAGAAGTAATATTATTACGTGCCAGCCAGCTTCAGAATAACAAGAATAATTCAAAGTTACATTGCCGATAGCTGAAGCAGTAGGAATCAAGTTGTTTTTTTAAGTCAATTCCTACACTTATTCTCGACTATAAAAGTCGGACAGAAACTCTTCACAATGCAGAAAAGGTCAACACTTGCTAAGCGTTGGAATCAGAGCAGTTAAAAACATTACCAAGGAGAATCAAGGTTAGTCAATTAACTCTTAGAAACATGTGGTAAAACTTTTCGTGCGAAACGCGCTAACAAGACAGCTGGAGACCCGTGACCCCTTTACTCGTGTGTGTGCTACCTAAATTTCTTTTACCTTCGCTTAGCGTAGGCTGGAATATTAATTGATCATTAGTTTATTAATTTACTGAAACCGACAGATTTTATCAACCAACTGGTTTAATATTTTGCACTGATATCCTAATTGCAAAGCCATTTGCTTGGATTTTGTGAACGATGTATTTTGATTTGTTTGTTTGTTTTCCTATTTGTGTTATTAATGATTTAATTCCTCCTATGGACTTTCGCTTGCCTTTGTGGCCTGCTTAATTCTGTTTTCTTGCATGAGTCTTATACAAGCATCCGTGTTAAGCAGGTTTATTGGTAATTTTCTTAATTACCTCCCCTAGTCAGTTAACTTGAGGCCT